GTTGGAGTTATTTTTAAGATTATACATACAATTATTGCTTATAGCAGTGCTTGCTATTTCTGAACTATAATATCTGAAAATATGAATTGATCGGATAACCGCACATTACACTGACTGGTGTTTGATTAAACTTTAGAAACTTCGTACCTGGTATGCCTACAGTGAGTCTTTTACTGACATTGTCAAGATATCGGGGAATCCAGCTTTTATAATGTAGCACCATTCATCATTAACTACTTAAATTCAGCGTGCTTGTATATCACCTAAAATCTGCTGCTCATTTTATTGGGCTTTTATGTTTGAGGTTTCTGAATAAAATTTCTTATCCAATGGATAAGTTGTTTAGGCTTGAAACTGAATAGTCAGATACTAACACTAGCATACACAAAGTGTTTATTTACGCTGCTATTAATTTTCACTTATTCACTCTTCACTAGTCACCAGTTGGTTGAAATGACTTTGAGCTTATTACTTTTTGATTAAAGTAGGGTGTTTTTAAAATGCAATACTTAGGTTATGGCAGTTAAAGGTTCTTTAAAGTGTAGGATTATATGACACATTTCGAGTGAATTTTAAGAAATATTCTTATTTACTTGACTTCCTCTGGCTGTTTGAGCTTTTGTCTCTTACTCAGGCGGTCCTCTGTAAACATGCAGCGTGGTGGTATCTTTGACTTTACAGGGGTTTTCGTTATCATGAGAGATTCTTAAGAAACCGAGAGTATGCGGACGGCATAGTTCTGTTACGTAAAAACGCTGACAAGATGCATATTCTTTTGGACACCGTAAATGACAATTTGAGAATGTTCAACATGAACTTTTCACAATGCAAATGCAAATTATTGCCCCAGGATTAATCTACGTTGGTACATTGTTTAACAATATAGAGTGAAGTGGTTGAGTGCATTGCCCACCTCACTTGCATGAAAAGTCGGATCCAACCTGATGGGTCAGTGGTCGAGGAAATCTCAGCACCGATAAAAAAGGCTTGTTTGCTATTCGTTAACTTATACCATTTACAGGGCTATGGTGATATTCAAGGTCGAGTGTATTGGACTGGAGTTCACTCTGTTCTTCTACATGAATATGAAACATGGCTACAAAGGTTGAAGTCGTAAGGAAACTTCAGGTGTTCGGTCACTGTTGCATTCGTAGCATAGGTCATGTGTCGTGATGTCACCACTTCAGCAACATCGAAGTCAGACTCAGAGTTTTGAGTAGAAAAGAGGAGTCAGTCGATGAGGTTGTGAGCCTTCACCGACTGAATTCGCTGGCTGGGACATGTGCTGCTCATTCTTAGTCACCTTTTTTCTTGCCGAACACGTTAGAGGTGACCAAACTAAAATTTAGCGTGAAGTTTTTGACCATTAGCCTGAGTCATGTTGGAAGATGTAGAATAGAGGGTTAAGGTCCACGTGTTAACCAAACTCGGTAGTTGGAGACTCTAGGTGATGTAGCTCAGAATCAATGTCTGACCCAGATAGAGGGTTTTGTGAGACTGTGGTCCGTTGGCTTAAGGAGTTGACTTTCAACCAGTGAGTCGCTGGTTCAAACCTCGCTGTACCTACTTAGGTTTGGACGGCCAGGTAGTATCATTGGCGTACGCAAAACAGGCGTACCTCATTGCCTGGTACACGAATGTGCACAAGGTTGCTGAGTGCATTTCGATTCGGCCTGGATGTATCCACACCTTATGTTCATCTTAATCATCATACCAAATTTGTTTTCTCTCATTCCTCCCTGCTCCATTTTCTGAACTTTCTATCAATTCGACTGCTTTCTTCCTTGTTTCTGTATCCTTCATCGTTGACGCCTTTACAGTTGGTGCGCTAATATGAGGTATGGCAACCGGCATTGTTATGCAGTAATTCTAGATCGTATGTCGATATTGACTGCCTGACTGACTAGCTGCACTGTAATTTTTTCCGTATTTTTGATTAAGTTCACTGTTTTGCAGAACAAATCACCAACCGTTATTTAGTTAAGATTAGCTTATTAGCTTATCCAACTTTGTCCTCATTTCGGTGATGGTTTTCTCGGATAGTAAAATTTGAAAAAGAAACAAAAACCGCGTACTTCTAACACCTACTCTAGACAAAAGAAATTTGGCAGAACTCAGTAACCATGTGCAGGTCCACGCACCTATTGTGTGAAGGTTGGTGATACTATCGGTCTGTCCACACCGGTAGTTGAAGCAGGGTCCATAGTCAACTGACCACACCAGTAAACCATCATGCCATGTTTGTCGGAGACAAATACAGGTTTGTGCAATAATACTTTATCTTTGTGATGTGTCTCATTAGCTTATGTATTTGGAGCGTATAGCTCTTTCATCTGTGTAGTTGACTTTCACTTTGAGGGTTTTGGGCTTTGAACTCTGCTCAAATTATCGACGTTTAGGTTGCTAAGTAATATGATTAGCTGTCACATGACAGGTATAATTCACTGCGTGATATGTCAAAATATACTTAGTTGCTAGGTCCTGGGTTCAAACCCTACTTCACTACGGCCTTTGTGACTCGGCAGCTTCATAAACATTTATACAATAAATTTGGTACATAGCCTAGTGCAAAATTACTTATGATGATTAGCAGTTGCATATATGCTAACAGGTGAGTGCGTGGTTACATTTTTTTCGCTGCCGGATGCATCAAAAAACTAATATTGACAGTCCTGATGGTCTAGCTTTGTAGTAAGAGCAGTAAAAGTCAGGGGCATCACATAAAACAGTTAAGTGCGGAACCTTTCTTAAAGTTTCTGCTTTTAAGAAATGCACTTTACCATTGAATGGATAGCTTATTCTAATGGAGAATTCTGCAGTGTCTCTCAAGGCTCTATGCGTTAAGAATATTTCAAGACTAACTTTGTGAATAAGTATGAATAACAAATTTTTTCTGAATTCATATTTTACTATTTTTGCCCTTCATATACATACAGGTGTGGTTTTCCTTGAAGACATTTTCGTTCCCAATCGTATTGTTGGCTTTAATATTTTTTGGTCATCGTGTCAGGGAATTAGAACGTCCACCAAATATATTGGAAAAAACTATATTTGTCTTGGGAGTTTGTCTGTCTATTTTAAATTGTCCAATTGAATGGTTATCACTCATGTAAGTCTTTCTTTTTTCTTCTGAAATTCGCAAGCAAATATTGGTATTTAGTGCAACCTATCAGTTATTTGCATGTTCTTCTGCCTGTTTCTGAGCTGCTTCTATTATTTGGAGACTGGCTGTTGAAATGCAATCAGGAACGAGGGAAAGGGTTCGAATCTCTGTATCTTATGCTTTTAAGTTGTGCTTAAACCACCAATTTGTATCATACATTGTTATGTATGACGAGTGGAAATTCATGGTCTGATATATCTAACTCAATCCAATACCTTAAAAGATGGTATCAACCTCATTCTATTCACAGTACTTTATATGTATCTTATACTAAGTCGCTGATGTTTTACGTGATATCGTTTCATTGTTTATTATGTTATATTATTTATTTCCCCCTTGGGTTCTTAGTGGAACAGGGCTTCAGTCGCACGTCTCGATTGCACTCTGTTCTCTGCAGTCTTTTAAACCTGGTCCCACGACTGCCCAGAAGCTTTCATTTCTTCCTCACACGATCTCCTCTATGTCACCCTCGGACGCCGAACTCATCGTTCCCCCTTTGGGTTCCACTCGAGGACCTGTCCTGGTGCATGATGTCCCTGAATGGTCTTCTCAGTGTATGCCCAATCCACCTCCACTTTCTTCTTCGGCATATTTGTTGGGCGATAGGTTGTTGGTTGGTTCGTTGCCAGGCCAGAGTTCCTTGTTGCTTATTCTTTCTGCCCATCCCAACTTGACATTCATTGTCATCTGAGAACTAATCCATTTACTTTGAGGTTTATGGGGATTTTATTTGTTTGAAGGTAGTATTCATCACGAACTGCCATCATTTGGGGGAATCACTGAAATCTGGGGGCGCTGGATGGCTGTTTCGTTCTAATGTAGGACTTATCGACCGTACACACGCGGCAGAGATCGAACTCAGAACTTTTAGGTCTCGTGGCAAACGCGTTGACCATCCAACCATTGGGTCGGAGTCTAATGCCCCATAGTTCCCTACCTCTGTCAGTTCACGGTACAGTGTGACTATCCATGGACATCTGCAGTTGGTATCCGCATCACTTCCGACTGGTTTCTCAAAGGTTTGGTATTGTTAACAGTTAGTATGACTGTATTTTTACTTTTTCACTTGCTTCTCATTTCTGCTTTTCTTCAGATATAATTTTTCATTTTGGCTAGTCTTTAGTGACATACGTCAGGGATTATTTTATGCCACACTTGTCTGTTTTTGGCTTGTCTTCACTGGTGAGCATATGATGGCAGAACCAGTTAATCGAATAAAAAGTAATTGTTTCGGATTGAAAGGATTATACTGGCCAAGACTTGTTCTTGTGGCTAGTTGTTGCACCGCTTTATTCATATTTGAACTAGCCGAACGTGGCGTACAAATACGCAATCCATTTTATAGGTAAGTATAGATATCGACGATTTATTTATTTATGTACTCAGGCATTTTCTGTGTGAAGTAATTGTATCCATGACAAATTTGTCCATCGTGTTAAGGGTCAACTTATAAATATTTAGAAGCAGATTTAGGGAGACCTAAAGTGCCTTATTAGTTGATTTTATTGTTTATTTAGCAATGGCTTAGGGAGATGACTGCCAACCAGTGGGTCATGAGTTCGAACACTGCTCCACTTACCGAGGTTTGGTCCAGCAGATAGTATCACTAGCCGTCACATAATAGGTGTATGACTCATTGCCTGCTGCATAAATGTGCACAAAAGTGCATTTCACTTCACTCCATCAAGTAGATAAAAGTTTATGAGTGGAGAAAGAATTTGAAGTGATGATCAGTGAAAACGTTCAAACTTTCGAAGACGCTGAAGTTTAGACACATCTTCGCCATTGTGACCGATCCACCCATTGATTCCTATTATCTCACGATAGTCTACACCTCTTTACACGGCTGAAGCCAACAGCCGGGGACTTCATCAGCTGGTGGCATGTCTTAGTGTAGCTTTCTTCCAACCTAATCCTACTTCGGCTAACGTAACAATTCGAGACAGACAGTGTCTCAGTATTTGCAACATATGTCCAGACCACCTCAATCGATGAGAGTTCACAACCTAGTCGACTGACTTGGCTTCCTTGCCCCAGTATTCTTTTCGCCTAACCTCTATATTGTTCCCATGATGATTATATCATACGTGAGCAATGCTGCTAAAATCAGTAGTCTCTTCATAACTTTTGCTTTCGACGTTGCACAGAATTGCGTCAGTTTGATTTGTTACACTTCATAATTTTATGGGAAAAGGAAGTGAATAGAAAGAGAATTATATTAAAGTAAGAAGTGTCTGAAAGAAGTTATCATAAAATCATGAGTGTTCAAAATTTTGTTGAAGTGATAAGTAGTGCATACATGCATCACTCAGGTAGCCTACACTATCCTACATGCTTCAAACTAACAGTCGGAGACTTCACGAATCGATGTCGCTTTTTAACCTGTTCACTGTTAGCTTTCTTCCGATCTAACACTACTCCAGTTGACATGTGTTGACGCGCGTAACACCTGTTTCAAGCGCACCAATCAACAGAGGCTTACAACCGCAGTGAGTGTATTGCTGTTCTCCAGTACAGTTAAAATTATAAATCATCTCTTAAATTCTGTTATCGAATAGTAGTTGTTTGCTCAACAATGTCGCCTTGTTAGTTGGACAGAGGAAGTCGGCAGGAAGCCCTGCTTGGTCTAGGTTTCATGCTTTTTGGCACTCGTCAGCAAAGCATATCTGCAACCTCGACGAAACTGATGTCCCATATGAAGCTTGAACCCGCGTTACCCAAATGTTACGGTCAAAGACGTTACCACTGAACTATTTGGGCCGTAATTGACCTCTTTTGATCGATCATGTGTTGACGAAAAGAGACATCAATGAACAAGGACACTAATCAGTAGTCTTAGTGCGTTACTGTTATCAAAACTGACTTTGAAATTGCTCATTAGTTTTCTCCTTTCCTTTCTTTCACCAGCTGTAGTAGTCGTAACAGCAACAATCGAAATGCACTCAGCAACCTTGTACACATTCTTGCAGTCAGCAATAAGCCACACACCTATTGTGTAAGGGCTTACGATATTACCTGCCTGGCTTTTCGAACCTCGGTAGGTGGAGCAGTGTTTTGACCCGTGACCCACTGGTCGAAAGCTGACTCTAAATTAATGAGCCACAGTTCCGAAGTAGTCGCACTATATTGTAACTAATTATATCTATTTTTATCCTGTGTACACTTATAGTATATGGTCACATCCAATCGCTGCTAAAATGGGTTTAACAAGTATCATAGTCGGTGCTTTGTGTGCATTTGCTTATATGATATATTTGACTATACTTGTTGTACAAGCATTTATACAAATATTCAAGAAACGTCGTCTACTAAATAGTCTTCCCGTTGAACAACGTCGCTACTATAGTGGAGTTATCTATCGTTTCATGGTACTATTAACCTATACAATTACATGTGCTGGTCTAACAGTTGCATTTTTCATCTTTAATCAGGTAAGAATTTTGTGTTTGTTCACTTCGTATTTTTTTCTTTCTTTAAACTAATGTTAAACGAGGTCAAGCAGTTTGACCCTGTATAACAACAGGAAATTGCAAATATCAATACAACAACTGATATCCGTTGTATGAAAATGCTGGCTGTCGTGCCCCAGTGGACTAGTGGATAAAGATCTGGCGTGTGTAGCCATGGGTGCTGGGTTAGAGTCTCATTGTGAACAGCACCACTCACTGGGGTTGCAGGTATATTCAGCTGACGAGTCCTAAATAGAACGGTACGTTCTTCTTAGATTCTGCTGCTAGCCACTACCCATCATTAATCTAAAACTGAAACACAATATCAAGGCATCCTTACAGGAGCCCATATGCCAATAGAGACCGATCAATTCAGTCCAATCAACGATGGAATCATACAAGTAACATTATTATTGGGGCTGTGGCTTACTGGTTTAGGGAGGTGACTTTCAATCATTGGGTCACGGGTTTGAACCTCACTCCACCTAATGAGGTTTGAACAGCCAGTATCATTTCTCTTCACACGAATAAATGTGGCTCATTGCCCACTGCACGAACGTGCACAACGTTTCTGAGTGCATTTTACCTCCATTATTATTATTATATTGCTATCGTTGTGGTGATTATTATTGTTGTTGTTATTACCGTATGGACGAAGGAATGGAATCAAGTAATGCCAAACGCTCGTAAAACAAGGCTGCTCTAAGAGGCTAAAACAGGTCTTCTGAATTTTATGAAAGTGTATTACTTTACTGTATTTTCGTTAGTTGGTTGTTACTTTTAAAAATTTCCTTCAAAGTGTAATGTTTACCGTTAAAAAAATTGTAATTTCTACACAGCATGGAGGGGAAAACAATACGATCGAAACATGTGGTTGAGTGATATAAGATGAAATAAGGAAGTCAATAATCCTTACTCAGTAGCAGATTGTCGTTGCAGTTTAAATGAGATAAATGTCGCTTAGTCGGCAAGTGATTAATGGTGGGGACTCAGCCTCAAAATCACTACAACCCTATTGTACTGCTGCATTGGCACACTAGACTAATCCGCTTGACACAGAGTGAGAACACGAGTAGGCTTGTAAACAGACATGAATTCGACCTTGAAGGACAGGTCATTCTATCCTAAATAATACTCTGACGCAGATGAACGGTCGTCTTGATAAGTTCCAAAATAGAAATAGCAGTAACTTTGAAATTCAGTTCTTGTATGCTTTACTTAATTCTTTACACATATTGTCATAGGCCAGTTATGAAACGTAGGTATATTACTGTTGAGGGGTTCCAGATTTGCATGAAACATTAATTTAAACATTTTTAAATTGTCATTTTTGCGCCATTTCTACAGCATGGCCAGTAGTTCATTTCCACCTCGTATTTCCAAGGCAATTCGCTGATTGGTTTCTATGGTAGTAGTCTCAAGTTCTCGACAAGGTCATATGTCATGTATAAATATACACACATGCTTTGGGTCATTTGAAGGAGCTTCTCGGAGGCGCAAAACACTCTCCCATCCATATCAGTCTCCCCTATATTTCCGTCTGTGCTTCGGAATCAGTGGTCAGGTGTCATTATTATTATTATTATTTGTCCCTTGGGTTCTTAGTGGAACAGAGGGCTTCAGTAGCACGTCTCCAGTGCATCCTGTTCTCTGCAAACTTTTGAATCTGGCTCCATGACAGCCCAGAAGCTCTCATTTCTTCCTCACACGATCTCCATGTCACCCTTGGACGCCCAACTCGTCGCTTCCCATCGGGGTTCCACTCGAGGGCTGGCCTAGCACGTGATTTCCCCAGTCAGCCTTGGTGGTCAGGTGTACAAGTTAGCTTTTATTTAGGCGCGCGTATATTTGTCCGCTTAGGAACATGACAATTTCTCTTCGATTCTTTAGTGCTCCTGAATTTCTGCCATACACTGACTTCATGATTTGGTAGTTTCATAACTTCGCCCGTACTTTGGAACGCATTTAACAGAACCTACTCAGCAACCTTGCGCACATTCATGCAGTAGGCAGTGAGCCAAACCTGTTGTGTGAGGGTTGGTTGGTTATACTACCTGTCTGCTTAAACCTTGGTAGGTGAAGCTGGGTTGGGACTCGTTGCCCATTGGTTGGATTTCATTTTTTTTCATATGAAGTCTTCATTAAAATGTTTATTGACAGACAAACAGACAAAATCAACGTAGGACCTCCCACACATGTGCATCGACTCAAGTTGCCACACTTCACAGTAGTATACAAAGAACAGGTGGATAGAAAGAGTGATATCGAAGTAGGCAAATAAACAATTTGAAGATAAAGGTTAGTGCGAATATTCAAGGTTTAGAAGGTGTCAAAGAGTGAATACATCTGTACCATTGTGACCGGTTTTCAGCCGTGTCACCAATAGTTCACAACTGCTGATTCCTTTCATCTTGGGGACTCCAACCAAGTGGTCCACATCTTCCAACACGATTCTGACCAAAAGGAAGAGACTTCATGGACTGATGCCACGTCTTGATCTAATCACTCTGAACCCTCTTCCAACCTAGTTCAACTTCCTCAAGCATAGCATATTGAGGTAGGTGGTGGCTGGACATGCGCAATACATGATCAAGGCATCTCAGTCGACCAAGGCTCACCTCACCGTCTGACTTGCTTGTCTCGCCTATTACCCTTCACCTGACCTCAACATTTCTCACATGATGATTCCACGAAACGCCAGGAACGCTACCAAGACATCTATAATCCGAACCTTGCAACTGCTTCATATCTTATACTTCTAACGGCCGTGTCTCATAGTAGTATAACAGGACACAGAGGACTGCAGCGAAGTATGTTAGTCCTTTTATACGTGGTCTAATATCCCCTCAGTCACTGCCAAAGATGACGGGAGTCGGCCAATGCTATACGTGCTTTCTATATCCCGGCCTATAACTGCTACCTTGACGTGGTGGTCGGGTTTGCATATTACAGTGACTTGAGTTGCATTTGCTGAAACACTTTTTTATCGAATCAGTGTAATGAAGCACCAGTTAAGTAGTGTACGTGTAAAGCCGCATGATTTTGATTTTATGTAGGATAAATATCGTCTTCATATGTGTATTAGAAATGTAAACTAAGAAAGCATTCTATTCATTTTTCTTTGCGAAAGGTTACCGAAGACCAATGGAAATGGGGTGAAAGAAGTGTAGAGTATACGTCAGCATTTATAACCGGTGTTTATGGTATGTGGAACATCTACGTTGTTGCCGTATTGTGTCTTTATTCACCGTCGCATAAGTTTCGTAGTGCCTCTGGTCAACAACTGTACAATCGTTTGTTAATCAAGAATCCTCCAACACTTCCTGACAATGCAACAACAGCAATGGCAGCACAAGATTCTCTTGCCGGTCATGAATTAGACATGCTTGACAGACATTCAGAAACAATCCAATTAGTACCTAGAAAGTTAAATGTTACCGAGAATCTGCCGTCAACGTCAACACCAACTGTTACTGACTCCAAGTCGTGTCTGTTAACTGAAGGCTTGAAATTCATTCGCAAAGAGGCATTTGAATAACAATTGCTACCAATCATATCAGTATATACATATATCGTCTTGTATTGACCAAAGACTTTCTCTTTTCTGCACACATTGCTGCTTATTTATCCTCATATATGGTTGTCATCTATAATTTGCCAAATTACTTAATGATCTCACATGAGTCTTTTCTTCTGTTTGCTTCTCTTTTCTTTTCACCACTGACTACTACATGCTTATATACCAAAGACATTTCGTAATACTAACTACACTTGGCATTTTTTTTCGTGCATCTTTTTTCAAGTTTTACCTCGGTACTCGCATTTATTTCATGCTTGATTTTTTATTGACCAGCTTTTTACCTAATTATTACTACTTTGTATTTTGCACCTACTGTGTTTACTATGTACTATGACAGTTATATATTTTACAATTATTAACTATCAAAGTCACATATCTTCTCTACTGTTGTATTGTTGTTCTTTGTTGCATTTTTCACCAATAATATGGCTTCCTGTGGGTGCTTTTCTGTGGTTGGATGTGTGGATGAGCATATGCCTTTCTTTTTATTAATCTGGGCTACATAAATAGCATTTTATATAATTTGTTATATTTCTATGAATACACTGGAAATTAGTTAAATACAACATTATGCATTTTTCTGCTTATTTCTTGTATTGTGCGCTTAGTGAGGGTGGATACAGTTGGATGAAACTTTGAAAGGAAATATGGAAAAAAGAGACTGATTAAGCGAAGAAATATATCCCTTTTCAATTAAATCTTTGTTTTTGGCTCTACGCTAATATAGATAGGTTTACAGTTCAGATCAAAATATCAACCAAGTGATGATGAAGGGTTGATCAGAGATAATTATAGAGTGATTATACGGGATAAATGAAAAAATAGTAATTAGGACAATAAAGAGCTCGATACTTGCACACTTATTTGACACTGGAAATCTAGCGGATACTAGCGAAGCACTTAGAATTAGTCATCATATGCGAATTAATTTAACACATGGACTAGACATTCGCATGGCAGAGGGGATTTCAATCCACCTTCATGAGTCTAATCGTTATATTAAAATGAAATTTGTACAGCCACTTGGATTACTGTGGCTGTAACAATAGGGTGTATAATGGTTGAGTGTGTCGGTCACTTCACTTACCTGGGAAGCAAGATCAGTCCTGATGGCTCAGTGGCCGATGAAATCTCTGCAAGAATACAAAAGGCTCCGCTGACTTTCGCCAACCTAACGCCACCTATGGCGCCGCCGTCATATCCGATTGTCAACTAAGGGTCGCGTGTACTGCACAGCAGTATGTTCTACTGTATGGCTTAGAAACGTGGCTATTGAAGGTGAAAGACATGAAAAGTCTGGCTTCAGGTGTTTGGCCGCCGTCGCCTTCGTAGTATAAGCCTTATTCCGTGGTTTCACCGTGTGAGTAACGCAGACGTCAGGTGTAGAGTTCTAGGGAGTAGAGGTACATCAGTTGACGAGGTTATGAACCTTCATCGACTGAGATGGTTGGGACACGTACTACGTATGCCTAGTCGCTGATTGCCTCATCACACAATGTTGGCCGAAGTAGACCCAGGCTTGAAAAGGGGCTTGAGGTGGCCAGACTAAAATATGGCACCAATGTATGAAGTATTTGACTGTTGGTTTGAGCCATGTGGGGCGATGGAGATTAGCCTGTTGGGGTCGGCAGGACAAGAGGAACCAGTGGTTGGACACTGACTCTAGTTGATATGGCTCAGAACCTGTGTCAGTGGTGCAGACGTATCCCCACACACATTATCCTCATCTTAACGACGCTATACCGAATCTCACCAGTTTCCTATTCTTCCTTTCTCTCTTTGAGTAAGTTATATTTCTTTTGACTGAATTTTCTTATCTTCTTCTTGCACCTCACTACCTTTTTACTTTATGTAGTGATATGAGGTGTGGCAACTCGGAGCATTATGCAGTAATGCCTGGCCCTATGTTGACTTGGATGGATTGCCGTAACAACATGATGTATTTCTTGTATTACGCTGTGCATTGGCCGTACCATGCCTTTTCTTGTAAAACGTGCTAGTGAAGACTACTCAGCTATGTTAGTAAATGAAGAACGGAAATACGTCTTCAGCTCAATAACAGAACGCCTTGAGGACTCAGTTTCTCCTTACAACTCGTTCGAAATCCTCTACAGGGTTTCATCAAATCATTTAAATGGAGTAACTTCAAGGCATAGTTGAAGCACTGGCTATTTGGGAGTTCAAACGAGCGCTGTGTGCAAAATCGATGCGTTCAACCCTTGTCAAAGACGTCATAAGGTTTTGACGGTCATAAATAAACCCTGTATTAGGTAATTATACTTTTTTCTTAATGCCTGGCTTATTCTCTTTCTCTAAACCCTCATTTGTACTACGTAACTTCATTTCGTCATTCAGCATATTTTTACCCCTGATTAGAGATAATTCTGGAATGTTGTGCCCACTGTAAGATATATTCACGTATGTACAGCCTAGCGAATGACTTCATCGGAAAGAAAATCTTTTCACTGTAACTGTCTTTTTGGCCTTTTCTTATGACCGAAGAAATGCATTCCTCTCTCATTATTTACTGTATATGACTGACCACTGGAGAAAGAAAAAACTTAATTTGCCAATGAATATTCCATTTGCTTAAGAGTAAACTGTTTCACACTATTATACATCTTGATTTTACAAACTTATCATCTTCATGACTTACAACATACAGCTCTTAACCAGCGCCACACCACTTGATTGGTGTTTTCATATGAATTGGAAACTTTTATATTGATATCCAGCCGGAGATGAAGATCTAATTGAAAAGGAGCATATTTCTTCACTCAGTCATTCTTTTTTCTCAAAGAAAATATCCTTTTGTGCTTAGTTGTGGTTACAAATGGTTTTGATTTTAACCGTGTGTGCGTAACTTAGGCTAAATCTTGTCAGGATGGGCAATGATTGTTGTGTAGATTGCAGACTAGATATTCTTTCTTAACCTACAACTTATCTTACTTACTTACTTATTTTACTTACAACATCTTACTAGTTGATGATGTTCTAATAGTTCCTTGTTGGTCAATGTGGAAAAAGATGAATTTTTCGTCACCGGATCTGGTAGTTTTAGTTCATCTAAAATGCGACCTAGCATTATTACGTGGTAGTCCGAGTTGCCATACTTCATATCAGCATATAAAACGAGCATGCTCTGCGATGAAACATAACGAAGAAAGCATTCAAAACATGTAGAATGCCGTGAAACTAGAGTAATGAACAATGAAAGAATACTGAGATTTGGTATGATGGTTAAGATGAAGATAATGTGTGGATACATCTGCACCACTGAAATCGATTTTCAGTCAATATCATCTAGAGCCTTCAACCACCGATTTCAGTTACTACATGGACACTCACTAGCCTGTCTGTGTTCCCCCTACACGACTCAAACTGATAGTCAAGAACTTCATACGTTAGTGACTTATTTTGGTCCGGCCACCTTAAACCTGTTAGGAGCATAAATCCACTTTAGCCAATGTTGTGTGACGGGTGAGAAGGTGACCAGCCGTCCGTAACACATATCCTAGCCATCTGAGTCAATAAAGGTTCGCAGCCTCAACGACTGACCTGCCTCCCCTACCTAAAACTCTATACCTGATATCCGCGTTGCCGAAGTGGTGACATCACGACACGTGACCTATGCTACGAATGCAACAGTGGCCGAACACCTGAAGTTTCCTTACGACTTCAACCTTTGTAGCCATGTTTCATATTCATGTAGAAGAACAGAGTGAACTCCAGTCCAATACACTCGACCTTGAATATCACCATAGCCCTGTAAATGGTATAAGTTAACGAATAGCAAATTTAGGATTTGTCCTGGTGCGAACTTGACAGACGCAAAGACCAATCACTAATTATTCGAACTTGTTATATACCCACGAATACGAGACCAAGGAAGAACACGATAGCGTAGTCGGATGGAATAGTATATTTGGATGGTTATGCCAAAATACCGATGCGTTCCAACTAACTGGCTAGAGAGTCGAATACGAGCAATGCAACGTAACACGACAGCGTGCCAAATGGCGAGGATGCTTGACCGGGTGCCTTCAGCTTAGCGAGTCCAGTTAAACTATCAAGGTCAGCATCAATGTCGAAGTCGTCAAACCCTAGGCTATTGATTTTGGGGAAGTGTATGACGCTACAGATCACTCCCCCCCTAGTGGGTTCGTGAGGACCCTAAGACGATACCAGCCGGAAGTAAAAACCCAGTGGTTTCTCCACTGGTAAAACTCTTCCGATGGGCTCACTGCGTGAGGTGGCCCCTGGTTGTCTGAACCTTATTCTAGGGTGTCGTGGCGATTAAATAAATAAAATACAATAAATGAAATTGTACGTCGGTCGCGGTCATCTGTTCCTTTCGACGTTCCGTCCAGTGCTCGTTGCACCTGGAATATAAATAAAAGTCTTTAATACCACGAAAACGTTGCGTAAAAATGGGAATTATTTATATATAAACGTGTCGAAAAAGAAAAATTTACGCTTATCTTCGCCGTTTTTTTAGTTTTTATTACATGGTAAATAAAAATTGATATAAAAAGGCAAAGTGTACGAGGGTTTGTGCCGGTAAATAAGAAAAATAGTGCCTCGAAAAAAAATGGTTGGCACACACATAGCTAAGTTGAATATGACTTCAGGTACTCTGGGAACCTGACGGTTCGACCTGATCGTGTTTTTTGTTGCGCCGCTGGTTGTTGCAGCTGTGCATTACCAGGCACATCGTCGAGAATTTCGATAATTGAGTCATCCGTCGGTCGGATGTAGCGAGCTGAAACGTCACTTACAATGGGGTTGCCTTCGAAATAAGCTGGTTTCAAACGGTCGATACTGACAGTATCTTCGCGTCCGCCTCGCTCAATTACATAGAATTTCTCATGTCGCTTAATCACTTTGAACGGCCCGTCGTAGGGTGGTTCAAGTGGTCGACGAACAGCGTCGTGGCGAACAAACACGTGTGATGTCTT